GGGTTCTAGACTGTGGGAGGGCACAGGTCAGGCTTAGGGACACCTCCCCGCCCATGCACAAATTTTTGTGTACCGGGCCTCTAGTCCTATATAATAAAGAGCTAATATGCAAATGGTCACCACACCCTCACGCCATCACCCCGTAACGGCTGACACTCAACACTGGGGAGAGAGGAATGGGGACCAGCCAGGCACAAATGAGCTTGCGAGAGAGGAATGGGGACCAGACAGGCTGCGGCATGGGAGAGAGACAAGCCGCCTGCCCCGTGGTCCTGGGCACCAGTGACTGTGTCTGCACCTGTGGTCCAGGAGAGGGACAAGCTGTTTGCCCCGCGGTCCTGGGCGCCTGCACCTGTGGTCTGAGCGAAGCCGCCCCCTCACAGTTCCCTGCAGCTGCAGCTGGCCTGGGGGAAGCCAGCTGGGTCCTGGGTTCCTATGGCCAGCCAGAGGGAGGGAAGCCGAGGTCCCGGGTGCCTGCGACTGGCCGGAAGTGGTTAGGGGCGATCAGGCCAGTAGGGGAGCAGCTAGGGTGATCAGGCAGGCAGATAGAGGGGTTAGGGGCGATCAGGCAGGCAGGAGAACGGTTAGGAGCTAGCAATCCCAGATTGCGAGAGTGAGTCGGACATACCCTGAGGGGTCTCGGATTTGAGAGGGTGCAGGCCGGGTTGAGGGGTCCCCTCCCCCCATGCATGAATTTTGTGCACCGGGCCTCTAGTAATTTTATCATAGAGTTTAGTGCTTTGAGATACTCTTAGATATTTACCAACATTTGTTCTCACATTTACACCCCACAGAGTGGTTAAGCAGTTTGCTTAAAGTTACTCCTAAGCAGCAGAGCAGAGGATACAAATCAGGCCTTTACTAGCCCCATCGTTCCATAGCCTGTGCTCTTCACCGATTAGTACACTGCCTCTCTGAACTTATGGTTCCCTCTGTGTGGAAGGCTGTTCCTTTTGCCTAAGATGCCAAATGCTCTTCTGTCAGATCTTGCAAGCTGCATCTTTCCTGTCATTTAGAGATTGCAGTTTAACATTACTTCCTCAGAGGAGCCCTTCCTCACCACTTAATCAAAAGTTACTCCCCATTCAGTTCTTATCAAGTATCCAATTTAATTTTACAATAGAACTTATAAATACTTAATATTTTCTTATTTATCAGTTTATTTTGTGTCATCTCCAACACAATGAAAGAAAGGACCTTTTCTGTCTTAATATTGTATTCCTAGAACCTAGAAAAATGCCTGGCACAGAGTAAGTGCTCCACAAATAATTGTCGAATAAGTGAATTTATTTTACCCTTACTGATGAACATTTAGGGTTGTTTCTAATATTTCACCACTATAAATCTTTAAGCATCTACCTTACCATTTTCTTATAAATTCCTGGATGTTGAATTTCTAGGTAAAAGGATATTCATGTTTTTAAGGCTTTTGATACATATCATCAAATGACTTCAGAAAGGCTGCTCCAATTTATCAATAGTGGATTAAAATGTTAATTTTACCACACTTGCTCCAACACTGGGTGTAAAGTTCTTTTAAGACTTTACCAAATTTGATGGGCAAGAAGATAATATTACTTTATTTTAATTTCTTTGGTTATTATTTTTTTGTTAATTCTCACCTGAGGGTATTTTTTTCCCCTGATTTTTAGAGAGTGCAAGAGACGGGGAGAGACAGAGAAAGAAACATAGATGTGAGAGAGACACATTGATTGGTTGCCTCCCATGCGCGCGCGCACACAGGATCAGAGCTGGGGATGGAGCCTGCAACTGAGGTACGTACTCATCCTTGACCGGAATCAAATCTGGGACCCTTCAGTCTGTGGGCCGACGCTCTAGCCACTGAGCAAAACCAGCGAGGTCCATTTATTTGGTTATTAATGCTGTTGAAAATGTTGTCATGGTTGTAATGGCTATTTGAACCCCTCCTTTTGTAAACCACCAATATTCATGTCCTTTGCTCCTTTGAGTTTGTTCATCTTTTGACGTGAAGGAACATTTTATATATTAGGAATATTAATATATTAATATTAGTATTTCAACAAAGGTAATACTTTTCACTCAAGGGTGGTTACATGTGTTAAAACTTGACAGGAGCAAAAAAAAAAATTGAGCATTTTCTACTTCATTCACTTATTTTGAGAAAGTTCATTTGATTGAAGAATAGTTCTACAGTAAAACTCCACCATAAGTGGGGTACAAAAACTCTGATTGCATAAAATGAATGATTGAGTTATTGTAAAGTTAATAAGCATAAATTCATGGCTGAAGAAGAGCCAATCTAGCTTCATTATATCTGAATTCAATGTTTTCAATACTCTTAAAAATAGGATAATTAAATAGCACAAATTCTTTTGTTTATAGTTAACAGACTTTCTAATATAGACTCAAGAGAAAGCAGGTCTAATCAATTACTAAATAAAGGGCTAAGTCTGGAGTCTATCCTACTCATTTTCTCAGAAGCAGGATCAAAGATGAGGCCAAGGAACAAAGACAGCTACTATCACTGACCACCCCTATCCAACACAGGAAACATGCAATTGTAAGGGCACCACAAGGTTGGAGTGAAGGAAAAGATGAGAAAGATGCAACCCTTTCCAGAAAACAGAATATACCTTTTATATATAATAACAGGTTCCTGTGACTAAAATTAGTGGTCAGAAATATGTGAGCCAATGGGTTCTTCATATATGACCTACTCCACTCCCTTATTTCTTTGGGCTTTCTTTCTTTCTTTTTTTGTTTTGTTAATCCTCAACAGAGAATATCTTTTCAATTGATTTCATTTTTTTTTAAGAGAGAGTGGGAGGGGGAGAGACAGAGAGAGAAACATCAATGTGAGAGAGACAGAACGATTGGTTGTCCTCCACATGCTCCCTGATTGAGCCTGCACCTGAGGTGTGTGCCCTTGACTGGAACTGACTCCTCAACCCTTCAAACCAGCTATGGCAGGGCTTTATTTCTTTTGAGACCTCTCACCTTTCTTTCACCAAGTGGGTGTGTGGAGGTAGGGGAGCAAGGAGCATCAGTATGTGGGCTTTAAGATACCTGCATTGTGGCATCCGTGGGATATTCTTTTTGTCAGAGGTTCTCAGATCAAGGTCTGTATCAGCATTTTCTCACCACTGAGCAAATAGTTTCCCTTTACTTAAAATGTGGCTTCTATCTTTTTTAGAATAATAAGGATTTTAAAAAACTCAATTATAATATTGTATCTGTGTACTTCTTTTACCCATCTGACATCCATTAGCACCATTAAAGAAATAGTGTCAAACTTGACACTGGATCAAATTTCTAAACTCCTAATATGAGAATTGGCATCTTGGATCCTAAAGCCTGCATTTGGCTTGCTGGAAGGAAGCAGGATCTCTAGCTATAGAACAGAGGCTGAAGGTCATATGCTGATTGAGGGTGAATCCGGGGCTCTGAGGTGACAGTGGAAGCCACAGGGAGTATAAAGAGGTGCATCAGAGGCCTAGATGAACTGAGGACGGGGCTTCATGCCCACAGCATTTGCTTCAATAGAGCCGTTCTGCCTTTATCTGTTCTATATACTGGGTTTCATATAAGTTATCTTTTAAAAAAAATGCTGAATACCTCTTAAGTAAGGATACTATCAAATCCTTATTTTAAAATGAAGAGTTGAAGCTCATAAAAGTGAAATGACTTATGTAATGTTATAGGGTTAAGCAAGTTAATTTCTATTATAATTTAAAAAAATATATATTTTATTGATTTTTTTTACAGAGAGGAAGGGAGAGGGATAGAGAGTTAGAAATATCGATGAGAGAGAAACATCGATCAGCTGCCTCCTGCACACCCCCTACTGGGGATGTGCCCACACTCAAGGTGCATGCCCTTGACCGGAATCGAACCTGGGACCCTTCAGTCCGCAGGCTGACACTCTATCCACTGAACCAAACCGGTCAGGGCTCTATTATAATTTATTATGAGTTATGGTTGGATTAGTGTGGCTGTTTCAATAATATCCTAACAAGGCACTGATAAATTTAAATTAAAACTTGTTTTAATATCCTTTTATAAAAGGAATCCAAATAACACAAAACAAATTAGACTAATCTTTCTTAAGTAGACAACAATATGCAGAAAGGCAAATAAAATTTTTAAGTAAAAACCAATTTTAACATAGTTAACAGTTTTTTTGTTTGTTTTTAAATATATTTTTATTGATTTCAGGGAGGAAGGGAGAAGGAGAGAGAGATAGAAACATCAATGATGAGAGAGAAAATCATTGATTGGTTGCCTTCTGCATGCCCCACACTGGGTATTGAGTCTGCAACTCGGGCATGTGCCCTTGACCAGAATTGAATCTGGGACCCTTCAGCCCGCAGGTTGATGCTCTATCCACTGAGCCAAACTGGCTAGAGCTAAACTCAGTTTTTTGTTGTTGTTTGTTTTTAAATATATTTTATTGATTTTTTACAGAGAGGAAGGGAGAGAGATAGTTAGAAACATCGATGAGAGAGAAACATCGATCAGCTGCCTCCTGCACATCTCCTACTAGGGATGTGCCCGCAACCAAGGTACATGCCCTTGACCGGAATCGAACCTGGGACCTTTCAGTCCACAGGCCGACACTCTATCCACTGAGCCAAACCGGTTTCGGCCTAAACTCAGTTTTGATTTTATCTCTGAATTAAGGTGACTGCTGAGGCTTCTAGACCAATCTACTTTTATAATTCAGGAGGACATAAATATAGAAATAACCATTTCTTCCTTCTATATTTAAGTTACTAACCTGATAAACTATGTTTAATGTCTTTCACAGGGGCCCTTGGCTAGGAACATTAAATTCAATTCTAATATACTGTCTTTCAAATTCAGAACACATGATCATAGTTTCCTATTGACCATTATATTTTGGGATTGTGCCTTAGTCCAAAAAGGCCAACCCAAGTCAAAGATAAAATGTTATTTGATCTTTTCTTATTTGTCCTTGGTATATATTCTAAAACAAATAAATCATGTCTAGTGCTTACCTGAGCCATCAGTGGGAACTGAACTTGCATTGATTCCAGAAAGACCAAACAAAGGACATTCTCGATCTGTGTTGACATGACCCCATTTGTGACATTTAATGCACCTCACATTTCGAACCTGAGAAATAGTGAACATTATTTTGGTTATTAAAATATTAAGAATCTAACCAACATTTGGCTCCCTACGCCTTGGTAGATTTTAAATTAAATTACTCTAATTTTAAAGATTTCCAGAGAAAGAGACTCCATAACTATATTTTATAATCTTATATAATAAAAGGCTAATATGCAAATCGACCCAATGGCAGACTGACCAGTTGCTATGATGCACACTGACCACCAGGGGGCAGACGCTCAATGCAGGAGCTGCCCTTTGGTGGTCAGTGTGTTCCCACAGGGGGAGTGCTGCTCAGCCAGAAGGCACTCATGGATGGTGAGCACAGTGGCGGTGGTCGGGGGAGCCTCTGACTGCCAGCTCAGGCCAACTCCCCGCAGGGAACGGGCTTAAGCCATCAGTTGGACATCCCCCTAGGGCTCCCAGATTGTGAGAGGGCACAGGTTGGGCTGAAGAACCCCCCCACCCCCCGAGTGTACGAATTTTGTGTACCAAGCCTCTAGCTAGTTTAATATAAATACTAAAATCTTTTACTATAAAGTCTGCCTAAAAACTAAGCTAAATTCTATCTTTTTCTTTTTGACTCTTATTTTGTGGCAATAAAACAATGTCATCCAAAAAAGAATAATAAAATTCCAAAAAATAATTATGTCATCGCTTAATCTTAAATTCTTAGATAATTCTTCTAATTCCTTGAAAACTGCAGAGACCACTGTCATTATAAGCCCCACTATAAAACTTTGATTTCTATCTTTCATCAATCTATTACATTTAATGTTTTCTCCTCTAGTCCTTCGATTTTCTGATACAAACAGAAACCATAGAACTCCTTTTCAGCTTAAATACCTTTTGGACCACAACGTAAAGTATTTACTAAATAAAAATTTTTCTTACAGAGTAAAATACATGTCACTTGCCTGAATACCAAATGGCTGATCTCGGATGTTCATGTCATCTTTGGCATATCTATTATGTAGAGAAAAATGTGCAAACACAATATTAAGAATAATTTAATAAACAGCAGTTATTCTGAAAAAGTTCTATAGTTCTACCAGTAAATATATTACAAAATGTATAACTGTAATAACTATACAGAACTATAAATCTATTTAGTATTTCCAAACACCACTTAGTTATTAAGTGTCCAGTCTAATTTTTTTTAAAAAAATGAAAAAAGTAAAATAAAACTAAAGACTATAATCAGGCAAATTAATTGCATAAGACAAATCACCTAAAATATTTTTTCATATTAGATGCCTTTAGTGAATGAAAAAAAGAATACAAGATGGGATATCAGATAAATTGAATGATACGTATTTTTATCTTAAAAGAAAACCAGTCTTACTTTTCTCGTGGCGCTCCTTTCTGCCATTCAAATTTGTATTCAGTCTCTCCTTCTGTTTCTTCTTTCTGAAAACATTCATTAAAAAGTCTTTCAATTTTTCATAAAATTATAATCTACTGCAAGTAAATTCAAGCATAGTAAATAGTACTTTACCTCTTTATTTTCTTGATTGCATATCAAAAACACGGGGGAAAAAGGTAGAGCAAGTTAAAAACTTCATAAAAGTCTATCATATACTATACTATGATATACTATTTAATTATAACATGTAAGAATTTATTGGTTTGACATTTTTCTTCTTTCACAAGATAAAATTCAAATCACTAAAGGATATAAAACAAAATTAAGACATCATATTTAATAGGCATGTAGTCTCACTAAAGATATATACATAAATTATAAAAGAATAAACGCACTTCTGCTGATGTTGAGATTTTTTTCCTATCCAAAGGACCAGTCATGAAATATAACTAGATTATAGACAAATATTTTTAGTATTTATTCTATTGATTACAGCATTTATACAATTGCCATTTTAAACGATAGAGAGAAACTTTCATAACAGTTCTCAAACTTTTAGTTGCAAACATATCAAAGACTTAATAAAAGAAATGAGGTGAGTACCTTTTTTAGCTCCTGGTGGGGCCTCGTACATGAAATTAAGGCCATTCTTTACACGTTCATCTCCCATAAGCAATCTAAATAAAAATAAGACATAAGGGTAACAATTTTATGTAGGAGGAAAAAATTACAGAATAACTGTCCCTCAACCTCTAAAATTCTAAGGGAATTAAGGTATTGTTGTAATAGTTTCAAAACTTTACTCCACTCATTAGATGAAATCTGAAATATCTATGAGTCTACACTGATACAAATAAATGACTAAATAAATAAATGAGGAAAGGGAAAAGGAATTCAAATTAAAAAATACAGCGGTTTGGCTCAGTAGATAGAGTACTGGCCTGAGGACTGAAGGGTCTCAGGTTTGAATCCAATCAAGGGCACGTGCCCAGGTTGAGGGCTCGATCCCCAGTAGGGGGCATGCAGGAGGCAGCTGATCAATGATTCTCATCCTTGATGTTTCTATCTTTCCCTTCCTCTCCCTTCCCCTCTGAAATCAATTAAAAAATATATTTAAAAATATATAGTGGGAATGAGAGAAAGAGAAAATCACCGTTAGAAAACCACAGTAATAATTGATGTGAATGCTAAATTTAGCACCAATAAATGCCAAAACTACTGGGCAAAAGTTCTAGGAAAAACAGGATATTTGCATAGCTTCAAATATTAATTAAGTACCAAGGAAAAAAAGTAACTGTTTTTTAAAGATAAAGAATAACCACACTATGATCTGCTGTAAACCTACTTTTCCACCCACACACTCTTTATTGGTCTAACTCAATTATTGACTGTTTCCTGAACATCTTTTCTGCTTTCTCACTGCACTGATCTTTAATAAGCTTTTAAAGAAATATTTTTGTGAGAGGTGTCAGTAGTTTGAGTGTTAAACTTTTATTGTTCTTAAGCCAGGGGTCCTCAAACTACGGCCCACAGGCCACATGCAAATACAAATATTGTATTTGTTCCCGTTTTGTTTTTTTACTTCAAAATAAGATATGTGCAGTGTGCATAGGAATTTGTTCATAGATTTTTTTTAAACTATAGTCCAGCCCTCCAACGGTCTGAGGGACAGTGAACTGGCCCCGTTTAAAAAGTTTGAGGACTCCTGTTCTACGCTTTGCCTCAGCTGGAACTTGATCATAGGCTATATATACTCACATCAATATATTTTATGTGAATTATGGGTAAATGGCCATCTACAAATATGAGAGTAAAGATAGTTCAGAGGGAATAGAATCCTAGCCTTAAGACATTCAATTCAAGCCCTAACCAGTTTGGCTCAGCAGATAGAGCGTCGGCCTGCGGACTCAAGGGTCCCAGGTTCGATTCCAGTCAAGGGCATGTACCTTGGTGGCGGGCACATCCCCAGTAGGAGGTGTGTAGGAGGCAGCTGATCGATGTTTCTCTCTCATCGATGTTTCTACTCTCTATCCCTCTCCCTTCCTCTCTGTAAAAAATCAATAAAATATATATTTTTTAAAAAAACATTCAACTCAAAAAGGCTAACTTAATATATAATTCAGTAAGGGGTCATTTTCATGCAATTGGTTATTCTAAAATCACCAGCACTGTCCTGGCTGGGTGGCTCAGCTGGTTGGAGCATCGTCCTATACACCAAAAGGTTGCAGGTTCGATCCCTGGTTGGAGCACATGTGGGAGGCGACCGAACCATGTTTCTCTGTCACACTGATGTATCTTTCTCTCTCCCCACTACTTTCTCTCTTCCTTTCTCTCTCTAAAAATCAATAAAAAGATATCCTTGGGTAAGGATTTTAAAAAATAATAATAAAATTTAAAAAATAAAATAAAATCACCAGTATAATGGAATTTCTTACCTATTATCATATGATTCTTGTTCTTTAAGATATTGTTGCATTAATTCTTCTTGTTTTTTCTTATCATATGATATTTTTTGTTCTGCCATCCATACCTAAATTAATAAAGTAAAAAATTTAAAATAGGACGTTTGCTTTTCTAATAAAATATCAAATGCTATTATATATAGTTTACAACATAATCTACTTTGGTCATAATGACACCATTACAAAATAACAGCTGAAAAGTCTGATTTGGGTCTTTGGGCAAGTCCTTAAATACAACCATTCAAAAGAACTAAAACTTCAAGCAAAAATGTCCAACTTGAGAACTACTCTGAGCACCTGAAACAACAGCTCTTTGCACTCAGTCCCTGTATGATTTCAGAGAGAATAACCATCTCTCCACACGCAATATGTCTAGACTAGAAAACACAGGTACAACCAGGAGGGTCAAACAATGCCCAGGGGTGCCACTGACACAGCAAGGGGGGAAAAATGGAGGGCAAGGAAGAGGAAGAAAAGGAAAGGAAATGAAAGATAGTTGTAGAATAAAGGGAAGAAACAAGAGAGGAAACAAAGAGATCAGAGAGAGGTGTGTCAGATGTCTCAAAGGCACCAGCAGCACAGGTTGAATGTGTCCCTATGTGAAATTCTCAAAACCATAAAAGTGGTGAAGGTAAAAAGTGCACACAGCTTATGCAAGGATATTTAACCATGTTACTTCCTGAGCCTAAAAGGTACCAATGCCTTCCTATCACCTTTAGAATAAAGGACAAAGTATTTAAAAACCATTCACCAAAAACAAGTCAAACTTTTTCTCCAACAAGCTAATTTTAAGAAGGTAAATTTGAGGACAAATACTTACTTTGATAAAATTATAATTAACTGTGGGTGAGGGCAGATGAGTATGGGGAGGAGGATGTAGGACAAGACTGCCATTTTTCAATTTCAGGAGCAAAAAAAAGGTAGTTATTAGTATTTTAGTAGTGCTGAGATAGGAAAGTGCTGAGGACAAAACTTGAGATGTGAAGAAGAAAGGTTAATCCTATCCTATATAATAAAAGGTTAACATGCAAATAGACTGAACGGCGAAACAACCGAACAACTGGTCGCTGTGATGTGCACTGACCACCAGGGGGCATACACGGAACATGGCGGCAGGATGGGGGAGCAGGTGAGCGGGGGCACCAGACCACAGCAGGGCACTGGTCACTGTCATGGGGTCGAGCCTCTGGTGGTTACTGAAAATTCTTTGCTCCCATGCGCCGTGGTCCCACACGGCGCTTGCACACTGCCAGTGCTGGAACGGCTGCTCACACCGGCTGCTGGCGCCCGGTGCCAGGCCTGATTGCTTGGCGCTATCAGCAGGTGGGAGGACCAGCTGCTGGCCCTGATTGTCCCTGAGGGCTTCTCTACCCACCCCTGCTCCCGAGGGGTGATCGGGGCAGCAGCTGCTGCTCGCACCCACTGACAGCGCCGGCCTCGCTTGCACCTGCTGCTCACACCTGTTACAGCAACTTTTGGTCCCAACTGCTCTGCGCTGTCAGTGGGTGTGAACAGGGCTGGCGCCATCAGTACATGGGAGTGGCTGCAGTGGGAGTGGGGCTGCCAGCAGAGATGGGACTGGGGCCCGCGTCAGGAGGAGCCAGGCAGGGATGTGGAGGATGGGCCGAGACCCACCCCTGTGCCCACTGCAGCCTTGCGGCCTACAGTTCTTTTCAAGGTGCATGAATTCGTGCACTGGGCCCCTAGCATGGAGATAAAAGCAAAAAATCAAACGAAAAGAATCCTTCAGGGACAGAACACCAGACATTTATTTTGGTATAAGTTCCTGAAGTTTCTTCCACTGACTTCACACTTACCAATGTAGAAGAAAAACCTACACTTAGGATAGGCAGTAAAAGGTACATGTTTGTGCCCTAGCCAGTTTGGTTCAGTGGATAGAGCATCGGCCTGTGGACTGAAAGGTCCCAGGCTCGATTCCAGTCAAGGGCACATTCCTGGGTTGTGGTCTCGCGGGCTCGATCCCCAGTAGGGGGTGTGCAGGAGGCAGCCGATCAATGATTCTCTCTCATCTTTGATGTTTCTATCTCTCCCTCTCCCTTCCTCTCTGAAATCAATAAAAATATATTTTTTAAAAAGGTACATGTTTGGAATTTTCAAAGTAGCTTAAAATACAAACAGTTGCAAAAGAGAAATGCCTAGCAGAATAACATATTAATAACAATCTAATGAATAACATATCACTTCTGACAGAATGACTACCATTTATTTGCTTTAGATTTCATAAGGTTATTTTACTTGTCTCAATTGCTCGAGAGCTTAAACACATATTGAGTATTCATTATGGACTGGATAAAAAGTAATAAAGCACATTCTTGTCTTCAAAATGCTCAGAATCTGCTAATAGAAAATCATACTAACTTTTCTGTAATTTTAAGCTCTGTATAATAAAAAATACATGAATTATATAATATAAATAATAACAATAAAGTTTGATATTTGGACAACAGAAATATGTACAAGATAACAAAATAGAGTAAGACAGTGATTAACATTAGGGACCAGGAAGGAAGGCTAGTATAAGGGAATACTTTATAGCAACTTTTGGTTTTCAAAAGTTATTTTTTTAAATCAAATCAAGGGTAGCCAATGTTATCTATTTCTTGTATATCTATATCCTTCCAAAGATGTTCTAATACACATATACACAAAAGGATATACAGGGTAGTGCAAAAGTAGGTTTACAGTTGTGAGTACACAAAACAGAGTTTATTCTTATTATTTTATTATATTATTTTCCATATAAACAACTATAAATCTACTTTTGCCCCCGCCCTGTGTATATAAAACAAACGTACATACATATTCCTTTTTTTAAAATCTTCACCCAAGAATATGTTTATTGATTTTAGAAAAAGGGGAAGGGAGGGAGAAAGAGACAGAGAAACATCAATGTGAGAGAAACATTAATCCGTTGCCTCTGAATGTACCCCTACCGAGAACTGAATCTGCAACCTAGGCATGTGCCCTACTAGGGAATCAAAACCACAATCGTTCTGTGTACAGGACACCACTCCAACCAACAGAGCCACACACCAGCCATGGCCACACATTTTTTTCTCACTCTTTTCATATACGGTAACATATATTACATACACATGTTCATATACACACAGAGAATATGTATAAAATAAAATTCTATACCATGGAGATCATTCAAGATCAGTGAATAAAAAGCCTTCTTGTAATTTGGGGGGTGGGGGAGGGTAGAGAGCTGAACATCATTCTATTGTGGGGCTATATCATCATTTATTGAACCCATCTCCTGCTGCACTAATGAGCATTTAAAAAATTTCTAATCTTTTGCTATTAAAAACTCTATTGCAATAAATAACCCTGTACACAGCAACTTCATACATGTTAAACAGGTTTTTAAAGAGGATCAGAATGTTGCCAAGGAAAAAACAGGGCAAGATCCTTTTCTTTTTTTTAAATATATTTTTTATTGATTTCAGAGAGGAAGGAAGAGGGAGAGAGAGAGAGAAACATCAATGATGAGAGAGAATCATGGATTGGCTGCCTCCTGCAAGTCCCCCACTGGGGATCAAACCCACAATCGGGCATGTGCCCTTGATCGGGATCGAACCTGGGACCTTTCAGTTCCCAGGCTGACGCTCTATTCATTGAGCAAAAACGGCTAGGGCTAGGGCAAGGGCAAGATTTTACTGGAAGAGGAAATAACTCAAAGACCCAAAGGTGTAAAACTGGAATTAAGTAGTTTGACATTACTGGAATATAAAATCGGAACTGGGAGAATGGCAATTGGGGACAAAGAAGGAAAAATAAACTGAACCCAGATTACTTGGACTTAATTCTGTAGTATTTTAATAAGGAGTGGGACAAGATCAGAGTTTTGCTTTAAAAAGACTTTTCTATGGAAACAACCCAAATATTCATAAACTGATGAATGGACAAATAAAATGTGCCATATCCACACAATCAAATATTCAGGAATAAAAAGACATGCAATATTGATATATTCTACAACATGGATAAACTTTGAAAACATTATGCTAAGCGAAAAAGGCAATATTTCACAAAAGACTACATATTTCATGACTTATATGAAATGCCCAAAATAGGTAAATCCACAGAAATATAAAATAGATTTGTGGTTGCCTAGGGCTGGATAAGAGGGAAGGTTAAGGAGAAATGGGGAGGAACTGCTAACAGATACGGGTTTTGAGGGGGCGGGTGACAGAAATATTTTAAAATTATTTGTGGTCATGATTCATAAATTCATAAATATACTAAAAACCAGTAAACTGTGTACTTTAAATGGGTGATTTTATGGTATGTAATTTATATCTCAGTAAAGCTGTGAAATAAAATAGTTATTCTGATGACTATGTAGAGAACAGATTTGAAAGGGGTCAAGACTGGAGGCAGAAAAATCAGTCAGGAAACATAACAGTCCAGGTGAAAGATAATGAGAGTCTAAGCTAAGATACAGGCAGTAGTGACAAAGAGAAGAGAAGGATTCAAGAGATATTTGGGGGGTAAGACCAATCGAATTTATTTGCTGACTAGATAAAGGGGTAATGGGAAAGGGATGAATCTTGAATTCCTGGCTTGGATGACTGGGTGAAGGATTGTTACTACCTATACTTCCTACTCATACGAGATAGGAAGTATAAAAAGAGCAGATTTTGGATGAAAGATAAGTTCCATTTCAGATATGTTGAGTTTGAGATGCCTGTGGGATATCTAGATGAAACTGTTCAGTATATAGTTCTTTTGAGGTAGTGGAGACAGCTGGGGCTGTAGATTTGAGAGTCATGAGTGAAGATGGGGTAGTTAAAACTATGAATTTGGATGTGACTGCTTGGGAAAGCATATAGAGTAAGCAAGGCATAGGCCAAGAATGCAACTCTGTATTTGGGAGCAGGCTAAGAATAAGTATATGTGTAGCGAAAATTAATATTTTATTGAGCACTCCCTCTAGAATGGTGGGCACACTCAGTGCTAGGTGGTACTTTGTTTCAAAGCCTTTATCTAAACCGTCTTATTTAACCCTCATACCAATTTTACAAGTCAAAGCAATTGATAATGATCATTCCTAATTTATAGATTAGGAGACTGGAATGAGGGAACGATTTTGTGCATGGTGTCAGGGCTAAAAGCGACTGTGCTGGAATAACTAGAATCTAGGCCTGCTTCCAATGCTCAGACTCTTCCTCCGTCATCTCTCCTTTCCACTGCTATAGTACTGAGCACGGTTTCTCTTCACTGCGCCTCGTAGACACGTAATTGATTACTGAAAAGCCAAACTTCAGCGAGGTCTTCGGAGCGATACTACATTATCGAGTAGGATAAAGAGAGGAAGCAAGGGGCTGACTTTATTTCCACGTTAAGAGCTACCTTATCTTAAATAGTAAGTTTTCTCTGTACAGTTTAGCAGCGCTCCGACACCGCGATCCTGGGATTCGAAAAGGCAAATCCAGAATCTCCTGAGGGAAGGAATGAGGAACTCTATCAATCTTCAGATCTTATGGATTTACATTCTTGCAGACAGTGTCGACGGAGCAGACCAGGCCGCCTAAACCCGAGGGCCAGCTTTGTCAACAAGTTTCTCAGCGGGGGTGAAGGGACAAGAACACGAGAGCTTTGGGCCTGGCGAAGAGGCGACTGTCTCAGGGATCCAAGAGACACCAGCACTCCCCAGGTCCAGCACGCCCTGGGAACCCAGTCCTAGGGCCAGCACCCGCCCGGGCTCCCCGTACTCACTTTCTTGATGTTGGATTTGGAGGCGGGATGAAAGTCCTTCTTGCACATGAAATTGGCGAAGGACTTCCCCATCTTGGAGGCTGAGCTGGAGAAAGCCGCCGCTAGGTCTGAGAGCAACGTAAACAAACTCTGCCGCCTAACCGGAACTGCGCTTCCCTTTGCACGGGGCACTTCCGGGGTCAGAGGTGACGGCTTCCGGCAACTAACGCCTCTCCCGGACACTGATCGCCCCCTCCCCTTTTCACTTTGCCCGCAGGCCAGGTGAGGGGCGTGCACGGGGGAGGAGCGCACGTAGGAGACGTGGGAAAGTGGGGGAGACGGGAAAGATGGCCGGGGGGATCCCGGGCCGCTGGGGGCCCGGGGCACAGCTGCGCCGCCGCCGTTTCAACGCCCCCGACGGGGCGCGGAGGGTGCCCTGTGCGGCGGCTCTTCTACAAAACGTGTTTGAAGTTCGAGCCCTTTATTTACCCCGGGAACTCGAACTCGAGTTAAACTTTTCTGCACCGATTTTCTCATCTATGTTATGGGAGTAGTAATTCTCACAATGTGTAGCCCGTTTGTGCGGAGGTTTTTCTGAAAGCAGTTGGTGAACGAAAGCTTTTAAATAGGGTGTCGACGCTACCAGAGCGGGGACTGTGTGTTTTGTCGCCACGGGGCAGAAAGATGTTCAGGAAACATTTGTTGAGTGATAAATGCACAGTAAGCCCCTGCGGCTCCCCCTCGAAATGGGCTCCCTGGGTGCCTTGCTAACGAGGCTGCTCGTTTCCTTAGCTTTCCGGACAACCCCGTAGCTCAGACCTAGTGCCGCTTTATGGCCCTTGAAACTACAGGGTTTGGGGTGGCCGTGGCTGCTCCAGGGGCGCCACCAACCAGCTTCTCTTGCGGGTGTGTGTGTGCGGTGCCTTCCGTGGGATATGCACTCGTTTGCCGAATGAAAAAAACAACAGCTTTCATTTGAGTGTCTTCGTTGTATGCACTGTGCAAAACACTGGACACATCGTCTTACTAATTTCTCATAATAGCCCTATGATATATTTGAACCAGGGATTCCCAAATATGGAAATAGTCAAAGATGACTCAGGGAAGACTTCAGGAGTAAAAGAGTTTAGATTTAGACCCTCTAAACCTGTGGGTCGCGACCCCTTTGGCAGTCGAACAACCCTTTCACAGGGGTTGCCTAAGATCATCCTGCATATCAGATATTTACATTACGATTCATAACAGTAGCAACATTACAGTTATGAAGTAGCAACGAAAATACTTTTATGGTTGGGTCACAACATGAGGAACTGTATTTAAAGGGCCAGAAGGTTGAGAACCACTGGCAGAGGGTAAGTCTGACTGATAGATTAGAAGAAGGTACTTGTCATTGCCATTTTCTTATTGACTCTTGTGCTGCAAGATTCATTCCCAAGTCATTTTCTGACTGATTTTTGAACTACAGTCCATGAAGTTTAAAACTTCAATGAACAGCTTTTATTAGATATGGCAATAGTATCCCTTGGTCATTAAGTAAAACTTTTCTGTTTTGTATATACTTAAAATTGCTTTTCTTATTTTGAATCTTCTATATGATTTTCAGTTTAAAAAAAATGGAACCTTGTTCCTGTGACACTTTTGTGGCATTACCTCCAGCAACAGTGCAAAATAGGATTATTTTTGGAAAAAATTCAGATAGACTCTGTGATGAAGTACAAGAGGTAGTTTATTTTCCTGCTGCAGTTCACGATAACCTGACAGGACATCTTAAGGTAGGTGAAATACATATTTTGTTAGCAATATGTTTCTTTAAAAATATCATAAACAGTTTTTTTTGTCATAAGCTAGCTATTTGGCAGATACTATATAAGTTAAAAATTCAAGAATTGAATTTGAAGAATAATTTGAATCAAAAGTAGACTGCTGGTCTTTTGTGATTTGGAGGAAGCTGAAATAACAATAATAATGTTAATTTTATTTGATTGCTTACTATGTGTAAACCTGTTAAATAGGGCAGGGATTTAAAACCTGCTGGCTGGTGTGGCTCAGTTGGTTGACTTTCATCCTGTATACTGGAAAGTCACCAGATTGATTCTCTGTCAGGGCACATACTTAGGTTGCGGGTTCAATCCCCCGGTCAGTGTGCATGCAGGAGGCAACCAATCGATGTTTCTCTTTCACATCTCTCTCTTTTCCCTCTCCCTTCCTCTCTCTCTAAAATCAAATTTTTTAAAATTTTTTAAAATCCTGCTGTCAAGCTTAGGATTTAGTAGAGGAATTGGATGCGGATGCTGCAGCTAACCCCATTATAAAGTATGATGGTCTAGATATAAAATATAAGAGCAGCAAGCTGTGACAGCAGTGGAGAAAGAACAATTAATTCAGTCTAGGGATGAAGGAAGGCTTCACTAGGAGTTGGGGTTTCAGCTGGAGTTTGATGGACAACAAGGATTCTGATTGGTGTAGAATAGGAAGAGTCATTCAGATTCTGGAATAACAATTTTATTACCTGGGAATAAAATCGTTATTGGACCCAGTGATAACACTAGCAACATGAATTTTATGTAGTCATTTGGTAGAATACACATTAATTAAAGGGTTCTTTAAAAATTTTAATTAAAAAAATCTATTCAGCATGGAACTTTAAAAGTTTTATTTTGTGCTTTAATTGTTAGCATATTTTTTAGAGTTCATTGATATTCTAATACTAAAATATTTCAATGCTAGATGTATTCTGTATACTAGGCCAGTTTTTCTTTTGCTGCTACTATTAATTATTTTTGGGTCCATTTCCACTTTTGTCTCTTCATACTTAAGTCTAGCCTATCCTGTAAACTAGTGGTTCTCATTCTTTTCACTGCTGTGGACATAATAGATGGGTGGGCTTTTATGGCAATACCCTGTGTATAAGAGCTACCATATGGACCTATATCACTAACCAAGAAAGACTGTGTATTAAGATTGAAAACTGCTTCCTTAAGCTTCAAGTCACATACATCCTCCTTTACAAAATATTTAGAGTTTTCACAATTAGAAACTGTCTCTCTCCTGAGCTTCTGTAGCTCTTCATCTTCATTTTTCTTTATGGCCCCCTATATTTTGTTGTACCTTAGTTAATGTCCAAGTCTTAGTTTCTTGAAAACAAAACCTGTAACTGATGCATTTCTTAGCAGAGTGCTTTATAATAGAAGATACTCAGCAAGTGTTTGTTTTTTTAAAAATACATTTTTATTGATTTCAGAGAAGAAGGGAGAGAGAGAGAGATAAAAACATCAATGGTGAGAGAGAATCATTGATCGGCTGCCTCCTCGTAGGGATTGAGTCTGCAACCCAGGATGTGCCCTTGACCAGAATTAAACCCGGGATTCTTTGGTCCACAGTCTGATGCTGTATTCACTGAGCCAAACTGGCTAAGGCTCAGCAAGTATTTGAATGAATAAATACTTTAGGGTCAATTCTGAATATGATTATTGAAAATTACAATTTAGTTATACTTCATTTGTGAAATGGTCGTATTTTCTGGTTGATTTTTAAGATCTTGGACTTGGACAAGTTATATGTTTTTGGTTTTATGGTTGTTGTATGACTCTCTTTACAGTGTACTTACATAGAAATTGATCAAGTCCCTGAAACATATGCTGTTGTTCTCAGTCGCCCAGCTTGGTTGTGGGGCGCAGAAATGGGAGCCAATGAACATGGCGTTTGCATTGGGAATGAAGCTGTTTGGGGAAGAGAAGAAGTTTGTGATGAAGAGGCGCTACTGGGCATGGACCTTGTCAGGTTATTTTTCTGTTGTATTTTTTGCACTATAGAACTTGTCTGAATTTTAAATTTTTGTGTAACTCTTACATATTTTATTTTTTCTATTTTTTCTTTTGTTTGGACTTTGATACTTTATTGTGTGTGTCAAAAATGTTTTAAAGGCCGAAACCGGTTTGGCTCAGTGGATGGAGCGTCGGCCTGCGGACTGAAGGGTCCCGGGTTCGATTCCGGTCAGGGGCATGTGCCTGGGCTGCGGGCACATCCCCAGTGGGGGGTGTGCAGGAGGCAGCTGATTGATGTTTCTCTCTCATTGATGTTTCTAACTCTATCTCTCTCCCTTCCTCTCTGTAAAAAATCAATAAAATTTATAAAAAAAATGTTTTAAAGTACTAGCATGTAGTCTAAAGACTCAAATATCATTAATTGGGAGAGGCTAAGAATTGATAATCACGATTCATTGGAAGTACCTAACATATTTTGTCAGACCATAACTAATTCTCACAGTAACTTCAAATGAGATACCTGAGGATCAGAGATCAAGTAACTTGCCAATAAATTACCAACTTTGAATTTGAACATTGATCTGTTTGACTCCAAAATCATTGTTTTCAATTCCAAACTGACTTCAGGAGCAATAGTTTTGAAGTTGGATTTCAGTTTACCTGTTAACTTGAAATAATTTTTATTTGAATACAACCATAAAATCTCATGTGCATGAAATTATTTAAGCAAAACAGTGGAAATTTATTTTAACCTGAGAACTTTAATATTTTTATTTTAGACTTGGCCTTGAAAGAGCTGATACAGCTGAAAAAGCTCTCGACGTCATTGTTGATTTATTAGAAAAATATGGCCAGGGTGGAAATTGTTCAGAGGATGGTATGGCATTTAGCTATCACAACAGTTTCCTAATAGCTGATAGGAGTGAAGCCTGGATTCTGGAGACTGCAGGGAAGTACTGGGCAGCAGAAAAAGTACAAGGTATGGATAAATTTTCCTCATTTGTTTTACAATTAATAAATTCTCCCTTACTTGCAGAAGTTGCATGTAATTGTCTTTCAAGATTTATAATTCAGTGCAATGAAGGGTTGAACTACAGGAGAAATGAAACAATTTTCAAGAACACACAATGAAAGAGCACTACAAAGAGCTTTTTTTGAAAGGGAGAAAACAGTGATGTTATCTTTTTTCCGTAGATGTAATATAAATTTTAAATAACCTCTATGTATTTTCTATACAGTAGCTCTTGGCTGTTTTATAGTGTTTTCCACTCTTTAATAATCTCTTACCATTTTCTCTCTTTTAAATTTGGGCTGAATTCCAAAATTTCATAATGTGTGGGTATAAAGGTGAAAAAGGGGAGTGGTAGTAGGGCGGGCATGGATGT